TATTCTTGTATATATTTGGAGCTCACGGGCGGAATGATCGATAAGTCTCGATCATTCCGCGCGTTTAACGGGCTGCAGCCTCGAGGAGAGATCGCCGCAATTCGGCGTGACTTGCGAAATTTTAGGGACGAAATAGCCCGTCGTTATCTCGACGATGGGAATCGATTATGACAGACGATCTTTTTGCCGGGCCATCAGCCGGCTGGCACGGGACGTGTATGTTTTGACGCTTATGGAAAATCTTGGACAGCGCGTTTATGAAGGATGACGGGACACGCAGGCGGAACGGGAGATCGATTAATCCCCCCTTTTGTCCCGGCTCTCTTTTCCATGGAGGAAAACGCGGCAGCAGGCCGATAAACGTCATTTAGACGCACCCGCGCGGTACATCGATCTCCTTTACCCGCAAAATATGACGAAGCAGACGCTATTTTTTGCTGTTTCAACCGCGTTAACGGTTCGCTAATAGACTTTCCTTACGAGAAACGAGTAACCAGAATTCAGATTTTAAAAGAACCACTTTATGTTTGCTTTTTCAAAAAAATTTTCTTTTCAGGGAACAAAATTATATTCTGATGGAACGTGACAAAAAATGCAAAATACTTGTTTGCATAACATTTACACGGATACGTGAAAAAATATCACTTTTATAAATAAATATGATATAATAAAATTTTTACAAAACGCGAAACGTCAACATATTCTCAATGGAAAAATTCAACGGGAGCTGGATATAGAGAAGCTTTTTTGCATATATTCATGCTTTTGTTAATTTTTTTAACAATTTTAACTAACATTGACATTACTACTAAAAATTCGTTGAAATTATAAATTTTTTTTTTCATTTTAATGGATCGACGAACGTCTTTCACACTAGAGATGGACGAGCCAGACATAATAAAGCAACTTGGCGCAACCGTGTGTATTTTTAGCTTTCAGGCGCACTTATCGCTTTCAGACAGTCTTATCGAAGACTCAATTGACGGCCCGATGTTCGAAATAATATTTCTTCGACATACAACTCGAGCGTTTCTTGCGCTTTGGAAATTTTGACGTTATTTTTCCACACGTTCGTAAGTCCAAGTCCAGAGCGGAAAAGTCGACGACGGCGTGGCAACGTGGAGGGCGGTAAAGGCCGGCACGAGAAATTTAATGGAATACGTTTGCTCGGATACAACGTTGGACGACGGCGTGTCGGAAAAGCGCGCTGGACCGTGGAATAATCTCGGAAATATTTTTCTGCCTAGAGTTCCAATTTGCCGGTATCCGCGCGACTCGCGTCTCGCTCGGCCCGACGAGTTTTTAATTAAAAACATCACCTTCGCCGTACGTCTGCCTACACCTGTTACGCAAATATCGTGACGAAGCCGTCGTGAAATTCACCCCGTATCCCGGAATTCGGCGGAAACACATTGCGCGTGACCGAAAAACACGTCGGCATCACGTTTCGTTCGGACTCGCGCGGACTCGTAGTCTTGATTTACAGCAATAAGGGACGTGGTGCACGTGGGGGATGTGTAAATTAGATTCGGCGGGGTCGCGTTTTTACACCGAGGCCGAGCCGCCGCTCCGCATTTAACGTCGATAACGAATACAAATCCTCGTGAAATTGCTCGGCGGTTCTATTCAACGCGGCGGCGGAACGTAACGGATAACAACGTAATTTTCTCGCGCGATATTATGTGGCGATAATCTGCAATAATAACGCAAAGACGCGGTTCCACGCGGTTAACCCACAACTTGCCCTGTGATTCCTATCGATGCGGCATTCATTATGTTTCGCGCGAGTTAATTTACCCGTGCCAGAAATAAAACGAGAAAACATTTTCAATTCTTTTTTAATCGATTAAATGGGAAAGGATCAACCATCGAGCTTAAGTTAATAAAAATAACTTTTAAATCTCGTTTCTTTCGTCGTGTCGCGATCGATATTGCTTTCAGTGAGTTTGATCGTAATATATATGATACTGGAATGATCACGATAGCAATTTTTTGGACAATTACATTTACGAAAAATGCAAATTACATTTTGCGAAAAAAAAAACGATTTTGCTGAAGTATTTAAAAATTTAGTGAAATCTAAAAATAACATTATTGGACTATGAACATTATTATGTAAAACATTTAATATAATACTGCTACAAATTTTTTTATATTCTAGTAATCAATTCGAACGTCCTATGTAATTATTTTAATAGATATATAAAATTAAATTATTCTCAATAAAATTATTTTCAGATCTGTCTGTATTTGATCATATTTTTAGATAATTCAACAAAATTATTCTTTCTTAAAATCTAAAATTGCTCATTTCTTGGACCGATTTGATAATTTCTAATCTGTGCAAAGATATTAAAGTTACACAAAAAAATAATTTTAAATCAAGAAAAATATTCTTATATAAGCAAGAAGATTATAATCTTCTTAAAAATTTTTTATATAAAGATTATAATATTCTTGTTTAAATATGAGAATGTCTATACTAAAATTTTTCTAAGAAATTTATTATAGTACACTTTTTTATACAAGAAGATTATGATACTCTTTCTTATTTATGAGTGCATATAATCTTGATTTAAGACTAATTTTTTTTTGCTCACATTTCTCGCTTAATATTACTATTGTTTCGATAGCATTCACATTTCTCAAGAGTGAGAGAGAGCATTTTTCGGCTATTGATCCAGAATGGTTAATTAAGGGTGGTGCCGAGGCTATTTATCGCACTTGGAATCGAATACGCACCCACCGAGCGATCCGCCATGCGGGCGCAGAAAAGACGAACGGCCGACGGGGCAGGTGGCAGCGGAACTTTTATTCCCGTCGCGGTCTTAAGAAATCTTTCCGAGATCTTTAGAATACAGTTGGGAGCACCCGTGTCGGTTCGCATCTGCGAGAAATGGATCGACTTCCTTCCTCCCGCCGTCGCGGCTGGACCATCGTCTTGCGCGACGTCTCGGCGATTACGCGAACGATAAATCATGAGATGCACGCTGTTTTAAATATTATTAATGGTTCACGGACGTATAAGGGTGTAAGATCTACAAGGTACGACGATAAATTAATATCTAATTCCAGCTGCAATCGCCTCAAATTTCTAGCGTCGTTGTAATATTTGAGATAAGAAGATAAAAAGACGCAAATGTAATTATTCTTCCTTGTCTTAATATCTCGGTAAAAGATTTATAAAATCTGTTTGTCTGTTATTAATTAGTCTGTTACTAATTAATTTAAATCAAGTAGATTAAACAATGAAAATATACAAACGTAAAATAATCCGCGCATTCCGCAGTTAAATATTTATGAAAAAAATAAATATTAAGTTAAGTCAGACTAGAAATCATTTTAGAAATAAGACCATAAATATAATTTTCAAAATTTTACATCTATCTAAATTAAAAAAAGAAAAAAAAGAAAATTAGACACTTATAAAAAGAATAAATATTAAATCACTCAAGGAACGTTTTATAGGAGGAGATTAAAGGGACAAATTTCAAAGTATTATATGTAGGTACAAAAATTTTTATAAAAGAAAAATTTTTATAAAAGACGGAATAATATATCTTAATAGTTTCTAAATAATATCGCAAATTATTCGTATGAATCTCGGACAGCTTCGGGCAAGCACCGACGGTAATTATGCGAAATATCGGGTCTCTCGCGCGAATAAGCGCACGAACTTTCCGGAGTTCCTTTCGGAAAGAACTAAAATTCTCAGGGCGATATCTAATGGTCGGTCAAAGTGCCGGTAAATGCATCCCGTTTCTTCGTTGTGGGGCCGAGAATGACGATAGAAGTTGAGCGATTTCTGCGACCTTGCGGCGCGCCGGAGAGAAGGCTGTTGACGTAATCGAGGAGATCCAACAGCTTCCGGTCGAAATTTCCGCTACCGCCGTCCGCGAAGTTCGCATAATTTCGCCAACAAAATATTCCCGCTCGTTCCCTTTAATTTCCATAACTCATTTACCGACCGTTCAAGAAAAAGGAGACCCGAGGAAGTTCGGGGATGCCTTTCGTCCTACATTGCGCGGATATTCTCCTTCTCGAGAAATTCTTCTTCTTCGAGGAGATAATCAAGAGGAACAAGTTGTTCGGTCATTTGCGAGGTTTGCTTCAAGGCTACGAACGCCGTAATACGCTTTCCTTTTTACATGCCGGAACTTGAAAAGAAAGAGATACGAATTGAAGATAAGAAGATCATTCTCTTCCCTAAAATCTTTCTCTCTTTATTAAACATTTCTAAAATTTATTTCCCTTTTCCTCTTTTAAAAGTTCTCTTTCAAAATTTCATTAAAAACTATTACCGGAATTTTTTACTAAAATTATCAATTGACAAATTTTTCCGTTAAATTTTTGTGCGTTACGAGAGTTGCAATATTATTATTTCAAATGTAATGCGACATCAGTACATGACGGAATCTTGTTGAATATTTCATTCAGTCAGATTACCGTGTCGGAACGCATGCTGTATATGATGGCATGTACGTACATGAAATTGCATTTATTTATGCGTAAAAATATTTGTATGCGTCAAAACTGATCGTCACTCGGCTCATCTCGACCATAAAATATTCGGTTGTGATGGTAATTATGATGGTAATGGCAAATGTGATTAAGTCGATTATGGAATGTCACGCATAATTATTAATGTTACTAATATGCTAATATTAATGCTAATATTAATGTTATCCTACATTGATTTTCTCGCTGAACTACTCGCTATGATCGACGAAGATCGATCGCCGGGATTTATATTATATATTATTTATACAAGATTTATATGGTGATTCGCAGTAGCTGCAGATCAAATCTTCCCTTTCCCTGGGCAATCAATAGTGCATGTGCATTTTTCTATATTTTAATGTAATATATGA